GAAATGGATGGAGTATCAGACCACTGCAAATCTACCAAGACCTGGCCGTCCCTCTAAACTTTCAGCTCATACAAGGAGAAGACTGATCAGAGATGCAGCCAAGAGGCCCATGATCACTCTGGATGAACTGCAGAGATCTACAGCTGAGGTGGGAGACTCTGTCCATAGGACAACAATCAGTCGTATACTGCACAAATCTGGCCTTTATGGAAGAGTGGCAAGAAGAAAGCCATTTCTTAAAGATATCCATAAAAAGTGTTGTTTAAAGTTTGCCACAAGCCACCTGGGAGACACACCACACATGTGGAAGAAGGTGCTCTGGTCAGATGAAACCAAAATCGAACTTTTTGGCAACAATGCAAAACGTTATGTTTGGCGTAAAAGCAACACAGCTCATCACCCTGAACACACCATCCCCACTGTCAAACATGGTGGTGGCAGCATCATGGTTTGGGGCTGCTTTTCTTCAGCAGGGACAGGGAAGATGGTTCAAATTGATGGGAAGATGGATGGAGCCAAATACAGGACCATTCTGGAAGGAAACCTGATGGAGTCTGCAAAAGACCTGATACTGGGACGGAGATTTGTCTTCCAACCAGACAATGATCCAAAACATAAAGCAAAATCTACAATGGAATGGTTCAAAACTAAACATATCCAGGTGTTAGAATGGCCAAGTCAAAGTCCAGACCTCAATCCAATCGAGAATCTTTGGAAAGAACTGAAAACTGCTGTTCACAAATGCTCTCCATCCAACCTCACTGAGCTCGAGCTGTTTTGCAAGGAGGAATGGGCAAATATTTCAGTCTCTCGATGTGCAAAACTGATAGAGACATACCCCAAGTGACTTACAGCTGTAATCGCAGCAAAAGGTGGCGCTACAAAGTATTAACTCAAGGGGGCTGAATAATTTTGCACGCCCAATTTTTCAGTTTTTTATTTGTTAAAAAAGTTTGAAATATCCAATAAATTTCGTTCCACTTCATGATTGTGTCCCACTTGTTGTTGATTCTTCACAAAAAAATACAGTTTTATATCTTTATGTTTGAAGCCTGAAATGTGGCAAAAGGTCGCAAAGTTCAAGGGGGCCAAATACTTTCGCAAGGCACTGTACATGTGTATTTGCAAAATAGTTACAAAACAGTTCAGTATAGTTCTGGTGGAGATTAAATATTCTGTGATAGTCTAGGATATTTTTACAAAGCAGATTTACTCTTTTTACCTGTCATTTAAGGGAATGACTTCTGTAGTATTCTTAGTGATGCTCCAACTTGCACAAACATGCTAAAGCCTGACACTGATGTGCAAAATATGAGACCTATTAAACAGCATCCATACAGGGTGAAGCCAGTAAAATGGCACTGATACAATCTAAAGCTGAGCATCTGGTAAAAATGGCTTAGCTTTACTTGGTTCTAGTCCATGGAGTTTACACAGCTTGGTAGAGGGAAAACCTGATGGTTTCCTTCATTTAACCACTGATTTCTGACAAATAAATATTGTGACTGTTCCTGATTCCTGAAAGGAAGGCATTGGTAGAGCCTTGTAATGGGTTAGACCTGTCATTAGTTTAGTTTGATACTGATATTGCTCCTACACTGTCGTTTTGTTAGTCTCATTAGTTTGAGGGCACTTCTCTAATGTGTTTTGTTTTTTCACCCACTGCAGAGAGTATTTAAGCAGAGCAAGATTTTGTTTTATGATTTTATTTTTATTAGAGAAAAGCAGGTAAGAGGAGGGTAACCTGTGTGACACAGATGTTTCTGATTTATTTTTTTGCTTGATTGAGTTGCTCCCACATGGCCCTGTCTCTCACTGGTTAGTAGTCATTACCTTTTGTTGTATTGCTATCTTATCTATTGTTTAATAAAACTGTTGACACCACACCCCGTTTGTTATCCCCCACAACAACAGGGTTCCTAACATCCGAGCTGAAAATACACACTTTATAACTATCATTAATGCAGCAATGTCATGCTGTTTATTTTGGTCCAGATGTGTAAGTTCATTCTTGCAAATAGTACTTGAATATGTTTACATGAGGAACTCTGTTACGCAGATTAACATTTACAAGCATTTACAAAACTGACTGACAGACGTTAGCATATTTTCCTTCTCATTCTCAGTCTCAAGGAGTTTCTCCTTTAAACAGTTTAAAGGCCCACATGGAGTATGTGTGAATAACTGGTCTGCTGGGCTAAACCCTAATGATTCCTGTACAGATTCAGGGGTCGCAAATGATATGAACAGTAATCCCTCAACCCAATTACACTCAGTCTGTGGAGGATATTTTTTAAGCATAGACTTAAACATACACTTAATTGTTTAATGCTAGTGTTTTAGACTTCCTTGGCTCTCAAGTTGATACATGCTTGAGACTAAATGATGCACCCCAAAGCTTTCTAGCATTTGCTAGAAAATGTGTCCCTTGATCTGTCAGAATTACTTTTGGCAATCTGAAAAATTACAACTTAATAATGGCTTTTCTTTTAGTTCTAGCAGTGATTTGTCTTAGTGGGATTGCTTCGGGATACTGAGTAGTGGTACACATAAGTGTCAGTAAGTACTGATTTCCATTTCTAGTCTTAGTTAAAAGACCTTAAAGTAAATAGTCAAATGGTTGCCCTACAAGCGAACTGGTTATAATGGGGTGGGAAGAATGGGTTGATCAAGGATCGAGGACTGAGGAATGATAAAATAAGGGAATTAGGATTCACTTTACAAGTCATAAGAAGAAGCCTCTTTCATATTTGTTGTTGTAAATTGTTAATGACCGTCCCCTGGAACTTTAGTTCTGTAGTTATAAACCCCTTTGTCTCCAGGTAATTGCAAACACTGTTAACACAAACATAACACTATATAACATAACCCTTGCTGTCAGCTACAGAGAGTGGTTATGTACAGTGCCTGCCAAAATCACAGACTGAGCTCCTCTAGTATCTCTAAGCATGGACATTGGCATCTGGTCTGCCTTCGTACCTGTTAATGAAACCAAGGCATTAGTCACAAAAAGTTTAAAAGATGGTTCAGTTGTCCACTGGTCCACATTCTCAAAATGATTTGCTCTGGGCTATGCTTTAATAAAGTCAGTCTCTTTTGTTAGCTTAACTTAAGTTGGCCTGCTTTGATCTTTACAGTATATTTTAATGTTAGACTCACTGATCAAATGTCCACACATCTGACAATAGTAACACCAGACCACAGGCGATTAAATAGACTGAATCACAATATACTTTTGAACTTTTGCTGAATTAAAAAAATAAAAGTGAGATATTGTTGAATTTACTTGGCATGAAAGATCAAAAGATAAATAAATCAGAACGTCTTATGAATGACTCAGGTGGGTGTTTGTGGTGAAGAAAGGGTACCAGGAGAGAGAAGAGGTCCTCCAGACATCAGTCATCACCAAGCTTAAAGGTGTTACACTGATCAACAGCTCTGAGATTGGGCTTCACCTGTGGAGCGCTGAGGATTACGTCATACCCCCAAATGTGAGAATCTATTTATCTATCTTTAACACTTCAAAATTAACAAAATCGGCTCAGTCATGTGATGTCACAGCACTCCCTAGTAATGCTCAGATTATTGAGTGTCTGTCTTTGTGGATATCATTAGCTTCAGAATCTGTCTCAACAGACTGATCAGTATTGAAGTTACTGGGGAGTGTAATTTTCCCTTTGGTTTCTTCTTCTTATTGTCTGGACCTAATTCTATTTTGTAGGGTGAGCAGGTGTTCTTCATAGTAACCAACTACATAGAGACCCCCAATCAGAGACTGGGGTTCTGTGCTGAGGCGAGTATACAAAAAAAGGGAATTTCATTAGCATTTTATTCTTTTCCAGCTATGATATTTGAAATTACTGTAGGGTACACTGTTACAGATGTCATATGCAACTTCAATTCTACCTCACAGAGTTCCAAGGTGCCAAATGGACAATGTCTAAGTGATGATGACTGTGTCGAGGGGGAGACTGTAATAGCTGGCAATGGTGAGGGCCGTTCATTGAAAAATAGCCTTGAAACCCTTGCAACTTCAAACCTGAATAATTTTAAGCTCAATTACATGTTTAGGTAATTCAACAAACCTCAGGTTTGTGAAGTTACTGTAAATTCTGATGGATACATTCAAAAATATGGTGGTCATCTTAGAGTAAACTAAAGCAGATTTACAGATCAATCAACTCTATATTCTGACATCCCTGAAAAAAACTTAACAGTTGCATTTGATTTTTACAAGTGTAGTCTTGCCTATATATTAATACTTTATTTCATGATTCATTTACTGCTTTAAACTTCTAAAATGTTTTGAAAAACATTAGTTTCATCACTCATTTAAAATTGCTGCTCTGCTCTAACATATTTATACGTTTAATCACACAATTGACACAATAACCCAAGTGTTGCAGTATGTTTTATATAGGAATAAACTCTCTTTAAACTCCATCAAGCTAAGAATCTTTGTTTTCTCCATTAGGAATCAAGACTGGCTCATGTTTAAACAGCACTGGGACCTGTGAGATTCACGCCTGGTGTCCTGTTGAATACAGCAAGAGACCCACGTGAGAATCCCTCCTGTCTTGCAGGACTTTGGAAATTTGCCATTTTGTGCTACTACATTCATACTTACAGACATTTTACAGGTTTATGTATTGGGAATACAGCTTGCCAGCACCGCTTGTTTTGTTTTTTTTACAGAGAGCCCTTACTGAGTGAAGCAGAAAACTTCACCGTTTACATCAAGAATTTTATCAGGTTTCCAAAGTTTGAATTCTCCAAGTAAGTGGTGCTGATTGCCAGTGTGCCTATGGTTTCAAGGCATCGTGACATAGATCACAGAATGAGCTGAGGGGAATACATGTTCCAGTGACTGCTTTAAATAGTTTTACAGTGCTGTGAGCCTTCTATATATACCAGCCTGTGCACTGCACATGGTGAGACAGTGAAACAGTCATTTGAGATGTCCTTGACAGCAGGCCTTGCCCTGGACAGGTGTCAGATCAGATGAGGTTAGCCTAGGGAGCTGTGCTGCTGCTAACTGTGCTGTGGTCTGTTCAAGTCATGCAGAAAGCAGGGAGATGCCACAAAGCCACATTTAATTCATCAGCCAGGCTCTTATTCATCTCTAGTTTCCTCAATAATAGTAATATACTTATGATTCGTGGGCTTTGGCAGATAATAGAAATCCCTCTTAATGGGTGCTGCTTAAAATTGCTGGCAGCATTACACGTCTGACAAAGTGACATATGAGTTTACATTCCATTCACAGAGCCAGAGGGTGGTCAAGGTGGGGTTTGATTGATATACACAGACTGTATACATGCTGCTGCTGTAGAGAAAAAGCTTCAAGTGAAGGTTGAAGTGAAGTCCTTACTCAAATCCAAAGCTGAGTCAAAGTTCTGTGTAAGTTGACAAAATCTGCATATCTAAACTCACATTTCAGTGAGAATGCGGTTGAATGACAGTGTGAAGGTTCAGCTGTAATGGTATCTAATATGTTAGGCCAATGCCAAAATGAGAAGTTCAGAGACTTCTGGGACTCTACTTAGCAGAGACAGCTGTGTTTCCATCTCTCCAGCACTTCTGCGGCCACATGTGAAAAACCTGATCATTTGATTTCAGTGATTTTCAGTGGAACTTTTTTATGTTTGTCTCTGGTTTAGGAAAATGGGCCTTTCAAAGGATACATGCAGTGATGAACAGTGTTCAATTTGAAAATGAGACAGGTTTTTATAGTTCCTGAAAATCTGATATTGGGCATGTTTTTTGTGTCTTAATCTCTTTTCAGGTCTAATGTCCTTGACACCTCTGATGGCAGCTACCTGAAGAGGTGTTCATATGACAGAGAAAGACATCCTTACTGCCCCATCTTCCGTGTGGGAGATCTGGTCAGCTGGGCTGGACATGACTTCCAGGAAATGGCAGTTAAGGTACAACGTGTCATAAACGTGCCAATTAAGAAAGTGTGTGGGAGCGATTTCAGTTCCTGTCTTACTTGACATAGCTAACTTTTCCCAGATATGGAAATCCCTTTTAGCTCCTTGTGACTGCAGTAATAAGTGTAGAACACCACAGTTATGATTTCACAGTGTGGTTGTCTTGAAGGGAGTCAGAATAAAAGCATGGACCTGTTTATCATCATCACTCTGTAATGGTGGATTTATTGAGGAGATTATGGGAGTAAAACTGTTGGGAACTGGAGGAGGACAAATTGTTTTACAACTGCTACATCCAGATACTGTAGGCAACATTTGTCACCCCTCTCACTTTCTTGCTTCATATTTCCTCCTTCATATCTAATAACAGACATAAGCTACTGTATAAACACCAAAGGAGTGATCATCTTGCACTGCAAAGACAATTTACTCTGTGGTTTGAGGGAAAACCTGTAATGAATCCAGAAATACAACAATGCAGAACACAAAACAGATGCTTTATGTGACATGCAATAAAGTTGTATGTTAAGAAATAACCACGCTCTGCACTATACTTTCACATGGAGTACAGCAGAGGGATCCCACACTACTGAAGAGTAAAGAGAAAAACATTGTACATAACTTTCAAGATACAAAAGCACAAAGAGTGACCCAAACTGGACAGAGCCATGGTCGGTGGTTAGTGTTTTTTTTTTTTTTTTAATCAGTGAAGTGTGATTGGACCTAAACACAGAATGTTGTTTATGAATAAACAACAGATTTCTGGTGGATACTGGAATTCTGCTTTGATGGAAAACAGTTGTTGTTCAGAAATACTACAAAAATGTTTCAGACAAATTGGTTCTTATCACAAATATTTTCTTATCTATTAATAGATGACTATATAATTACCAGTATAGCATCACTCACCATCAGCCTGACTAGTGGTCTAATCAGCCAGAGCATCTGAAAACACAAATCTTGAGAAAATCTGTTATATTCAGAGTTTTACAGAGATTAAAACATTGTACACACATTTATTTTTTTCTGTACAAAAGAATACTAAGAAAACACAGATTATTACTCTAATTTTAATGTTTTTACACTGGTTACCAGTTTGTCACTGAAATTAATTTAATATTTCTAGCCCCAGACTATATGTCTGAATTACATGGCCCTTAACCCATATGTGTAACATAGGCTATACTGTATATTGTGTTTATGTGTTGTGTTTGAATTTTTGTAAAGCACTTTGTAATGTCTGGTTTTGACCAACAAACTATATTATTATTGTAATTATTGAAAGAGTTGTGTTTTGCCCACTAGGGTGGGTCTATTGGTATCCATATACAGTGGAAGTGTGACCTGGATAAGGACTATTCTCAGTGTAATCCACAGTACAGCTTCACCCGTTTAGACATGAATTTAAACAACTCAGTCACATCAGGGTACAACTTCAGGTATGTCCTCTCTGTCATTTAACCAGAAATACTGTAAGTCTGTCAGCCTACTGCCTCCTCTCTGTTTTTTGTGCCTAGCCTGCTGTAGTTTTATCTTTTACACTTTAATCAAGTTGATTTTTCTCCTCTATAGATATGCCAGGTATTACAAGGATCAAAATGGTGAAACCTATCGCACTTTGTATAAAGTGTATGGAATTCGCTTTGATATCATGATCAATGGCCAGGTACAGCAGTGATATGAATGCTTTTTTTCTAAGGGAATTACATGATTCCACCATTAGAGGTGCAGTGAATACCTGTTATTGTTTTGCAGGCTGGGAAATTCAATATTGTTCCCACAGTAATTGCCATTGGTTCAGGTGTTGCTCTGCTGGGTGCAGTGAGTAATTTGCAAAAATATTGTGTTGATGTGTAAGTGTATAATTGGTGTGTAATTACTGTGGTGCCTTAAATCAGAAAAATGTCATATCTCTCAGTCGCTTTCATACGCTTCTCAGATCAGAAATGAAATTCTCTAAACTACTTGTTCAACCTCCACATCATCCAGTCACTTATGCACCTCATTTAAGCAGTTTCTCATTATTTTTAACAAATTGCACATACAGTACATTATTTGTACTGTTGAAATTGATATATGCCATACAGAACAAGTGCAGCTTTGTGTGTTTTTAATCATTATCGTCAAAACCTGTGCCACAGTTTACATATGAATATACTTCCAGAGTACACTGTTATAATGACAGCATAACTAAACATTCTGACTGCCAAGTTCATAAATGATGACACAAGGACTTGTCATGATGCACTGACATATTCACTGACATAAATATTTAATAATTTTGAGATAAACTAAGGATTCTGAGCAAGTGACACACTTTTGTGGATTTTTTTGTGTGGTGCTGTTTGTATGAACTGAACTCAGGAAATGCTCTTATAGTTTAGCAAATATAAAGGATCATTCGAGAAATGTACCAGAGTGACTGAGATAAACTGTATAGTGCCACTAGAAGGTGAGGGATGTAAGATTATCTACAGGTGGTGAAAATCCAGTTGATATAATTATTTATTTTTTCTTTCAGGGAGCCTTTGCATGTGACATGATACTACTGTACATGATGAACACAAGCTCCTTATACCGAGAGAGGAAATTTGAAATCATCAACTTCAGGTTTGACTAAATGTTTGAAAGGTGGGGCATTTTAAATAAACCTTGATCATCACATTTATTGGCAAATTTCTCTGTTGCACAGAAAAGGCCGGACCACAATCAAGGACAGGAAGGCGGGCCACCGGGAAAGGAGATCCAGGAAAACAGCTACAGAAAGAGGAACCGGCAACTCCATCAAAAAGCCAGAGGAAAGTGCACCCACTGAGGGATTTGCTCCCATGCCTGCAGTGGGAGCAGACCAGTGTCCCACCATTCCTCGCAACACAGGACAGCGATACACTGCCATTCTCTTTCCCCGGGATGCAGAGCCAAAGCATCACATCACTGTCTCTTCACACAATTAAGTTTGCACGCAGAGCAAGACAAATTGTCTGCTGTGGTCTCAGTTACATATGTTGCAGGGGGTGAAAACAAAAATCAAACTGATGTCCACTTCTCACCTACTGGCACAACGGCTGGCACACCACTAGTTTGAGTGATGCTTTCCCTGACTGAAGATACAGTATGTTGGCCCATGGAAATGTTAATGTTCTACACTGTGAAAACGGGCCGAGACACTAATACACAAGGGTGGTGTTGAGTGGCTGGGTCAGGAACCAAAGGTGAGATGTGGAAGATTACAACAGGTCCATAAATAATGATATATAAATACTGTGATACTACTGATGCAGTTAGTAGAGTGACAAAGTTATTTATCAAAAAATTTAAATGAAATGTCAAATACTCGTGGGTTACTGCTTTACAAATGCACAGACTTCCTTTTGCCTTTGTTTCATATCATAAATACTTCTAGTTTTCTGGGCTGTTGATCAGACAAATTAAGCAAAATTTCCAGTTCTAGTAATGTATGGGTGCAATTTATTTTTGTTATTTTATGGACATAGAAAATGACTGAAAAAAAGTGGCATACTAGATTCACTTAAAGTGAAAAATATTGCAGCTCTCTGTATTACATAAAAACTTTACTATGGTCCTCAAACATAGACTTGAATTAGGCAAAATAAACACTGTAGACTGAAAGTCACTTTCGGCTTTTCCCGTTTAGGGGTTGCCACAGCATATCCTCACACTGACGACTCGCATGTTGACATTTATTTTACGCCGGATGCCCTTCCGGATGCCCTTCCTGAGGCAATCTTGATTCGAACCTGGGGCGCCACAGCGAGAGCGCTGCGCCTTAACCATTAGCCTACCAGGGATGGCTTTAAAATAAACACTGTAGACTAATAAATTAAATGTGAAATGAATTCTTCCTCTGTTCGCTTTTGGCGCATCGGCATCCAGTAATTGTTGCATTAGCGCCCCACAAAATACCTTCTAAGTTCAATGTAATGAAATGAGAAAAATTATGTATGAATAGATTAAAAGAAAATATCAAAACTGTGCTTGTCAGCAAAAAGTAAGAGAATATGTGAATGGTCTTGTTGGTATTTCAGTTGGATGCATCACATTCCTACAGGCATCTGAACACAGTTACACTACCGTTTGCTGCTGTCAAGTTCTGTACCGATTGTGACTTTGACATCTGCCACCCAATGCTATAGCACAGTCATATTCATGATTCTCTTGCAAAGCTGTGGAATGAAATCTGTCATGTACTATGTCTGAAGTGAGTGGACAAGTTCAGTGCTGATGTATGGGGCTGACTCTTAATGAATGCACTTGTGAAAGGACTCTCTTTCCTGTTTCATTTTATTGAATGTTCTTTACTGTTGGACACAATGTATTTGATGTGCTAATTTTGTGATGGCAACAAGTGACAGGCAGTGATTAATAATGTATACAATTTGTAGAGGTATTTATAAGTTATTACATTTGTTATTATCAGACCATAGTATTGTACATAGTATAATGTCACACCTTGTTAGCATATAATCTTCTTATATCTAGGTTATACTACAATTTGCATTATAATAACTGGGCCTCATACTCTGGTAGAGATGATGCACAGAGCAGGATTTACAGGTTTAATTAGGTCAGTCACGGGCAGGACAGTTTACTCTGCATACAGCAATTGCTGATACATCCTCTGACACATCACCAGTACGTAATAGAAAAATGTATGGCTTATCTACAAGGAGGGTTGACAAATATTACTGATTTACTAGCATTAAGTGGTGAATTCATGGTTATACATGACATTATTTTAGTACACATGCACCATTCCATAAAGAAAAGTCCAAAACAGCACATATGTAAAAAGACCTCCAACAAGGCCTCCGGTAAAAAGCAGACGCCGTGATTTGAAGCATTTCTTCCACCGCCGTCCGGCCTTGAGAATGAGCAGCAGAGAAAGGAGAAATGAGGACAGGAAATAAAAAATGAAGCCGTAAAGTCCGGTCAGCCCGAGGATGCCAGCTGTTGCTCCAGACAGAGCGGAGACAGAGGTGCGACAGTAGTCCAGCACAGCAGCATTGCCCCTCACGGCCACTTCACTGATGAACTGTGGTCCCTCACGCTTGGCTACAACTCCTGCCATTTTGGCTCTGGTCAGCTATCACAAGAAGATGCTGCTGTTGAAGAGATTCAGGCACGTTTACTAAAATACATAGAATATATAGTGCATATAAGAAAAGTATAAGATACATATAGTAGAGCTTGAGCGTTTAAATACAAAATCTATGATAAAAATTGGTTTGGCCGGTGACTGAAATAACAATAGTAGATAAATACGTTAAAATTTACTCTACCTCAACCAGCCACATATAAAAATATTGCTTACACATTACTGCATCAGTAACAATGGTGACAATGCAATGATATATAGTAACACTAACAGGCAATTCTACTACGGTGACTACTAGGACACAAAACACGACAGAAGCCTCGATAAAGCCCCTTAATATGCGTAACAAAGACAAAGAGCAAAGCTGCCAGTCGTTGTTCGACGTTAGCCTAAAGTTAGCTACTGGCTACAATGAACCAAACGTTAGCTACCGAATACACCTGCGGTAAAAAAAAAAAAAAAAAAAAAACTGGCACATAAGACGCCAGACAAACAGGCATAACTGCAGTCAGTAAATGCCAATTAACCGTACGTTTCTGGCTAACAGCACATTTTAACCCGCTTTATTTTATGACTTGATACTAACGTTATTGACGCTAACATGGTAGCACTCGGCTCCTCAGGCTGCTTGCTGACCATAATTGATCAAGTTCTCACCGAAGAGAAATGCAGGGACTCGTTGGCTGCTCACAGGACGATTACAAATGCATATAACCTGTAGAATTAACCTCGCGGGCTTTGATATTAAAATTTATTTAAGGAATGGCAGCTGGTATAGCACAAAAAGAACACAGTCATTCTCATTCGGACAACACTCCTAGTCCAAAATCAGCCATTCTCAATGCCTACGCAATGCATTATGGGAATAGAGTAACCATCAAACAGGAAGCGACGATATGGTGCGTTCCCCGCACATTACAGAGTGGGAAAGTATAGATTTCTAGTACTGTTGCACTCTTGGCTTCCTCTTACAGTCCAAGACAGCAGGTTAACTTAGGGGTATGATTCACTGGCGACTCAGAATTGCCCATCGGTGTGAGCATGACTGCGAGTGGCTGTCTCTCTCCATGTGTCAGCCCTGTGATAGGCTGGTGACTTGTTCAGGATATACCTGCCGACTCTCGCCCACTGTCAACTGGGACGGACTCCAGTGGAACAGATGGGCTGTTGTAGTGGGATAAATAAACAATCAAAGCTGAAACTTCCGATCCCTTGCATGTACATGAATGCAACAATATGGGGTTTGCTTTTAGAGTTGATGTTGCACAACTAAGGAGAGGACTGTGGCACCAGTAGTCATGCCTAACTATATTCTGGGTTTAGACATGGGCACCACATCTGTAAAAGCCGTTTTATTGGAAATTAAATCCAGAACGATGGCTGCGAGTTGCGCTTTGCCTACTATGTCTGATATAACCGACAACAGTGTGATAAAGGTGTGTGCGTTCAAGTTCCAAACAACCCAGTAATAACATTGCTTACTGTGTACTTTGTGTACTATGTTTGACCTGGCTTCGTTTTCTTGCCACGCAGGCCAAAGAGCAGGATACTGGTCGGATTGTAGACACTCTGAACCAGTGCATCGGCTTGCTGCCCAGAGACAAACTGCAGCATGTCAGCAGCATCGGACTGTCCGGCCAGATGCATGGGGTTTTATTCTGGAAAGCAAAGACAGGTGCGACTATTATCACAAGCCTGCACGCATGCACGCTGTGGCTTTTCATAACAGCATGCGGTTAATTTTCTAACAGTGACTCTGTGATTCGTGCGTATTTCAAGGAGCACAAACCGATCTCTTCATCCATTATTTTTTAAGACAAAACACACGCACACACATAGGAGAGATGGATGCACATTGTTGAAATGTCGTCTGGAACAGGAGCATCTGATGGACTGAGCTCCAAAATATACATCATATGCGCTACATCGTAGCCAAAACATTTAAAGAGTAGGGGCCCAGAACTATTCATCTCAATATGCCTGGTCTCCTGTCGTTATGGGCTTTAAATTTACAAATTTTACACAATATGTACTTTCCTAAGAGGCTCCTTTAATCATGGGGATCCCGTTTGTTACAAAGAATTTTCATAGGATTAATGTTGCTTTTGGTAAATTACTAAATTCACATCTCATTGTTCATAATATACAAAGTTTGATAATTCCTCAGTTGAAACTTGAGCTTGTTCCAAAGAGCTGATAATATAATGTTGACAATATAATATGTTAATTATTGGCATCTCAAACAATTTAATTTATGAAATTGAAAGAAATGAAGGTGTTTTAAAACTTAGCTATGGCTTCATAGTGCCTTTAAATTCCTCTCTGATTAGTTTGTCTTATAGGATGTGTACACTTCGTTGGCACACCTGTTAGTCCTCAAATGCAATCTGGTCATGTAGGTGAGGGGCAGGACAGTAACAGTAGCTGTGTTTCCACTGTGTCTATATATTGTTACACAAGTCTCAGTATGAACAAATAATGGTGATTAAAAGTCACATAAGAGCAATATACTGTATATTAAACTGTTTCATCAAACAAATTTTGAATGTGTTGCTCAGAATGTTACAATCTAAGTCAGGGGTTTCAACTAATTGTGATGCAGGGACCACCATTCTGACTAAGAAGTAACCTAAGGATGACTGTTGTGGGGTAGATAGACCAGATAGGCACTATTTTAATCCTGCAAGTCAGCTGGGCTTTGGATGGATTTAATAATGTACAAGTAATGATACATGGAAATGGGTTTTAAAAAGTAAAATTAAAAAAAGATTCCTACAGTGAGATTACATTATTGAATGCACGATCAGGGACCACCTACAATGTCTTTGCAGACCAGCAGTCGGCCGCAGACCACTGGTTGAAAACCCATGATCTAAGCAAAATGTGCCCCCCAGTTATATGTAATTGTCATGTAAGAAATGTTATTCTACTAGTTGAGAAAATTTTATTTGTTTTTAGAGCATTTACATATATCATTGCTAGCAATCCTTTCTGTGAAGATTACACAGATACAAAGATTATTCACAGTTTGATTTGGACTGCAGCTTCTGCAATGTAAGATTTTCCTCCAGTAACTCCTCTTTTAAACAAATCCCATGCATTGTATTTCTTTCATAAATATGTTGCCCTCTGCTGGTTGCATACAAAATTGTATTTTAAAACAGGTTTGTAATGATAGAAAATGTCCTACAGGGTTATTTTTACATCAGTGCAAAACTAAAACCAAAACCAGACATTACTTATTTTTTTAAACCTGCTGTCTTTTGCTCCTCATAGGTTGTGATTGGTCCAATAGAGACTTCTTTACAGCCAGAGACACTAGTCCGCTGATCACCTGGCAGGATGGACGCTGCAGCAGTGATTTCCTGTCCTCTCTTCCAAAACCAGACTCACATCTCAGTGTGGCCACAGGGTTCGGCTGTGCAACAATCTTCTGGTACATGCAATACAGGTCAGCATTCCTTTTTTGTAATAGAGCTTACTAAAATACTTGCTTTTGTGATGTGAAAGTAAAATCAATAGATGTGTGGTTTACCTACAGGCCTGAGTTCCTTGAGGACTTCACAGTGGCAGGTACCATCCAGGACTATGTGGTGTCTATGCTGTGTGGTTTGAACAGGTGCATGATGACGCCTCAGAACGCTGCCAGCTGGGGTTTCTTCAACACTTCCTCCAACCAGTGGAATACAGACATGTATGTGAAGTGCTTAACTTCATTTCTGTGCTAATGCCTGCTATGCAGTTTCTTAATAAGACAGCCGAAGAACTAAATACCTGAAAAAAGTCCTGTAGTTTGTGCGTGTTTGTATAAAACCACAGTCACTTAACAGTTGCCATTACCAGTTTACAGTGTCAGAGCTGTTATATACTGTATGTAACCTACATAACTAGCCACTCTGTGTGTGCATGCTCTAGTCTGAAGGGTGCCAGCTTCCCTTTGCACCTTCTTCCTCAGTGTGTTCCAT